TGGTCAATTTTTTCAAAAAATAAAATAAAAGGTACTTTAGGGGAAGATAATATTAAAAATTATCCATTTAAGCCCTGTTAGAGAACATCTATCGGAATACATTTTATTCAAATCTGCTTAATTTTACACTGATATGGCGAATTTATTCAAAATCGTTAGGGCAGTTTTCGAGAAAATCGTAAAAATGTGTTTAGTCCGTTATATAAGATACCACTTCCGGTTAAGCCGATTTTGACGAATAAGTTGCTGTAACATCCCTAGCATATTAAACCTTAAATACGCAATTTCAGGTTCGCACGACTTTTCGTTTTTGAGCTAGACTTTTGACACACACACACCATTTTGCGGGACTTGGTTATTTGGACTCAGGAGACCTCAAAACATGTGTTTCCGTTAAAAACTGAGATTCGAAAATTTTCACGATCGCAATACTTTACTATATATTTCATATGTAAGTGAAAGTAATAAGGAGTCTAGAACTTACTGATACGGAAAATCATCAAGAAAGTAATATAAATCAATATTTTATTGATAATATAAACAGTGAATTAAACAAACGAGGAATGGCCGGCAACATTACTGTTGGAAAGTTGTTTGTGCCATTGAACCATTGAAAATGGTTGTGCCAAAGAATGGTTTTCATTTAAATGGTCTCGCTTTACGGCGAGTGGTGGGGGCAGATCTAAAAGATAAAGATATCACTTAAGCCCTGAGAGAAACTGGTTGTATATCCTTATTCCACCGGCACCCACTGGCCAAACACCATCTCCAGCACAAGAAGCCACTACTTGACCAGCAAGGACCGTCGTCGGAGGGCCCTCCAAGGTAAAAAAGATGTAGGCTGGCATATAGACGGTAAACTATTTTTTTGCATAATCATTAACCTATCAATTCCTTAAGATACAGCCCACTGCTTAAAAATTAGAATGTTACCATAAAATTTAGAATGTTGCCTTATTTAAACTCATGAGAGTTATTTTGCCATAATTGGAAAAGTTGAAACATTTGGTCCACCGGACACGATTAAATAGTTTGTTTTTGCCATATTAGCGATGTTTTGCTGTACGTAAAAGAGGAAAATTGCCTGGTTGGTTATGAGAGGTTATATAAAGATCGTCTATTTCCGGGCCGATAATCGTATTACGCCTATTAGTTTTTTAAATGTAACTTACGTCGTTTATTATTTTGTTGCTTATTTGGGGGCGCCAGAGTAATAAAAAATTTGTTTTTTGTGTGTAAAAATTATATTTCCGGCCTAATATTCGTATTTCGCCTAATAACTCGTTTTTCAAAAATATACTTTAACCAATAGATCTAATGCTTTCGTTACGTATTAGGAGAATTCAAGCAATTTCCAGATAATTTTCCTAGAATATTCAGGAAAGAACAAATAGTGACTTGCTGGAATTAGGTGACTTCGTTGATACTTACGTTAATCCTTGCCTGCTTTGCTGAACTTTGAAATTGTTTTGAATAAAATACCTGCTTTGCTGAACTTTGAATTTATTTTGAATAAAAGGCCTGCACAACTGAACATTAACATTTAATTTTGAATAAAATTGGGGTTTGCCTTAAGCAATTAAATTTTGCCTTCAGCAATTGAAATTTTATTATTATCTTTTCTCTCTACAATTTTGAAGATGGCACCGACTAAGGGTACTGAGGGACTTAAAGCTATGAATGATTGAAAACAAAGGATGTTTCTTCGAATTCAAACTAAATATGATATGATCAAGGATCTCCCTGATAGAAAGGAATTTTTTATGATTAGAGCTTCAGAAATTAAAGCGCAACTAGCGGAATTTGAAGCGGTTTTGAACAAAATTTCGGTGCAAAAATGAATCATTAGATGAAGAACTTAGAATTGAAGCAAACGCACCATCTCTAGCGGCGGAAGACCTTTATTATGAAATAAAAGCTGCGCACGAAAAATTAATTAAAGCTGAGCTCATAGTTCCCGCTTCTCAGTCCATGTCTAAATCAGTAGCTTACCCTAAACTGCCAGATTTGCGAATTCCTCCATTTTCCGGTCAGTACGAACAATTTCCCACATTTTCTTTTATTTATTCATGATATTTACAACTGTATTAAGAAATAAAATACATTTAGTAAATTTGAAAACAGAAAATAATAACATGAAATCACTTGTTAAACATAATAGTGAACTAATAGATAAAATAGAAAAAGACAGTAAATTTTTTTTTAAAATAGAGGAAAGTGATGAACAAATAATTGTAATTAAAGTAGAATCAATGATGGATGGAAACTTAGAGGAACATACAAACATTGAAAAAGTCAATGAACATATAGAAGAGGAGATAGAAAATGGCAATCAAACCAAAGAAATAACAAAATATGAAGATATATTTATGAACCATTGTAACAAAGTAGTGTTAAAAAATTTCAAGAAAACCTATCCATTCAAATTGATTAGCAAATTAAAATTTACTTCAAAAACAAAATTAATGCAGGAAACATTACAGTTTAAAGTAGAACTAAAAGTAAGACAATTCACATATTGCAGTTTTAAATTAATTAAAAGAAAATTTAATAAATGGAAAAACTAAAAAAAAAACTATTTAATTTCAAATATAGCAAAAAAAAAAAAAGGAATAAATTTTATGGTCTTAATTTATTATATTAGATTTAAAGCGAGTTTCGGAATTGATTTATCTTTGTTGTTTGAAAGTAAATATATTGTATAGGTATGATATTTTAATTCTTGTTGATTATTTTCTGATAAATATTTTGTTTTGTTTGAATAGTAACTATTGTTGAGAAATGTTTCATGCCTCATTATTGAAACCTTATTAATGTGAACAAATTAATGTTGGTCTTATTTATCAAAATGATTGTAATTGAAGTAATTTTAGCTAAATCATACATTTAGTTGATGAGAAATTTAATATTGATTTATTAAAATTTAATATTTTTTTATTCTTTTTAAAATAATAATAATGTATTAAATATAATATTTTATTTGTTGTGTATCATATTGTTCCTATATAAATATATTGGTTTGTGTCAACATTAACTATTGTTGCAAAATAGCTATTGTCAACATGTTGATCATTTTATATATAACTGTTTATACAAGTATTAGTTGTTATTAATTATTTCCATATTTTTATTTTTAAAATAAGTATTATTAAAACATTATATATATATATATATATATAACTTAAGATATCAATTATAGTCAAATAATAGGTCATGAACTACACTTCAATGAGCTAAAACAGCTTCTGTTCATTCAAATGTTTCGATCCCTGTTTTTTAACATAAATAATGGGATCCTCTTCAGTTTTTTAAATTGAGCATCGTTACCCCAAGCCGCTCAGCAAGCTGACAGCCACAACAGTACCGATACAAGGACTATATATATAGTATATAATTAAGAGTACTCAAAGTGTAATGGCTAGCATGCCAGTCCTAGTCTATATAGTATATAATTATGGAAACACTTATAAACAATTTCTCATTTCTATACTAATAAAATTTTTTTATAAAAACAAGTTTTAATTTTTTTAAAAATTAGATACCATTCGAATGCTATGATTTTTATTTATGAAATATTAAATTCAAAAATATACGTTGGAGTTAGAAATATAATAGAGGGAGGACCCAACCCCTAAGGTCTCCCCCGTCTTCTTACGGCCATTGGGCAGGATGTATCATCTGTTTGTTCCAGAATACTCTCAATAGAACATGTCCCTAGGAGTCAGGCCAATATAACTTACATGAAGACTAGTTTCAGTGAAGTATCAGTATCATTATCAAGATTATGCAGTGTAATATGTGAGATCAAATTTATCAGGGAGACTAAATCAAGAAATCATAACAATAGTAATTTATGTTTTTTATTTTAATTCACTAGTCATAAAATTTAATTTAGATTAAATAAAAATATTTACTTTACTGATGTTGTTGGTTAGATTCTGAATAATTCACAGTCCACGAACCATTTAAGCCCTCAGCGCCCAATAAATTATCATAACATGCAGAAGTTTTAAATCAATATTTTTTTATTTTATTCATCTTTTAATAATATCAGAACAATAGTTTACAAATGCTCAGATTTTTTATCAAAGAATAAATAATGTCTATTTACACTTAATTTTATGCCTCACAGGTCAGTATAATAAAAATCTAAATTAACTCCTGATAATTATTTATTGTACGTTTCAGGGAATCTGTGTCCGTTTCCTCAGCAATATTTTATTCTCTCAAAAAATATTGGGTAAGTTAATATAATATGCTCCCAATATACAGATTCCCCAAAACGTACAGTAAATAATTATCAGAAGTTAATCTTAATTTTTATTACACTGACCTGTGAGGCATAAAATTAAGTGTAAGTAGACATTATAATATAAAGTTCAAACATTTTAAATACTATGAAGAATAAATAATAAATAAAATGTCTCTCTCTGTTTAGGGGTAGCTGATGTACTGATATTTTAAAAATTAATAAAATAAAAAAAAAATTGATTTAAAACTTTTGTATGTTATAATTTATTGGGTACTGAAGGCTTAAATGGCTCCTGGACTGTGAATTATTAAGGATATAATAAAGGAAATCATAACAATAAATATTTTTATTTAATCTAAAAACAAATTTTATGGCAAGTGAATTAAAATAAAAAACATAAATTGCTATTGTTATGGTTTCTTGACACAGTCTCGCTGGTAAATTTGATCTCACATATTACACTGCATAATCTTGATAATTATACTGATATTTCACTGAAACTAGTCGTCATATAAGTTTATATTGGCCTGACTCCTAGGGACATATTTTCCTGGGAGTGTACTGGAACAAACAGACGATGCATCATCTCCAACAGCCAGAAGAAGACTGGGCTTAGACGAGAGGAGAGTCGGAGTTGCGTCCTCTCCTTCACTATTTCTAACTCCAATATATATTTTTGAAATTAATATTTTATCAATAAAAATCATTATAATAAATAAATATAAATGGCAGGGAATCAAAACAGAAATATATGTTACCGTTTAATAGTAATAAGGGTAAATTTTTGAATCAGAGGAAATATAAATCACTAAAAAATGAATTAAAAACAAAGAATTATTTTTAAAAAATATATAAAAAAATAAAATAGCTGATTTTTCATTCATTTTATACACATCTATGTCATAATATTTCATAGGAGAATACTGGGGAAATTAGTATGAAAGTTCATATATTGTATAATCTCATAGTTCTTTAAGTAATGAAAGTTCATATATTGTACAATCTCATAGTTCTTTAAAATAATAAATTTTTCTTATAACTGATAACAGTTCATATATATTGTAAGGAAGAATCAATTTAAAAAAAAAACAGTAATTAATTTATATTTATATATTAACTGTAAAATTAAATAGGAGAGTATATAAAGAATACAGAACAGTTCCCTCGACCTTATTTGAGCATCGCTTATCTACATATTTATAAAAGTATGTATTCATAAATGTATATATGTACATAAATGTATACATACACATGTACAAACACTCACATATATACTTATATTACATTTGGATTAAAATTAGATAAATGAAGGCTAAATATCACGGTTATCTGGAACTAATGACAAAAAAAAGGTTTTCATAAATGTCCAAGTTATAGTAATCCAATTACGTTGCTCAGCATTTTCATTAGGACTAGCATTATCCACTTCATTTTCTCTTGGTTGATTTTCAACAAGATTGTGCCCTCTTCTCCAGCGAAAAACATCAATATTAATCCTGAAAAATTATTCAATAATCAATAAACACTATAAAAAATAAATAATAACTATAAGTGATATATTAGGATCTGGATAACTTTTCGAATTTTTTTAATGTTTAAAATAACAAAAAATTAATGTTTAAAGTAAGTGGAAAAAATATGTCACCCAAGGTATTTCTTATCACTAGTCATAACTCCCATCTTTCTGGCAGAAAATAAATTCCACATCAGAAAAATGACTTGTCTTTTAACGTATTTCAAGACTATATCCATTTTTTTATATTTTCATAGGAATAGCGCTCCTCAGCCAGGCCATGTGCCATTGAATGAAATAAGTGATAATTGGAAGGGGCTATATCCGGTCAAAATGGTGGGTGGGACTTCCTATTTAAGCCTTTACAGGTAGGTTTTTATCAACCTTGCAATGTGGTCAAGTGTTGTCATGTCTTTGCTCATATAACGACCGCTGGATAAGAAGAGGAGGTTCTGTAATGGTCTGCAGAGTCACCAGTGTGTTGCCTATGATTCTTTGTCTTGGATCTGTGATTTGATAGGTTTGAAACTTAACAATAAAAAGCTATAATTAATCTTTCATAGTCCTTGATCGATGGGAAAATATAATTGTGAAAAATTAAATGTATTCTCCTGAAATTGAAACAGGCTTTTTTTGTTTGATAGAAATTATACTTTTAATAGTTAATTAAACCTTGTGCTGTTCTTATTCTTCTCTAAATGTCTGTTAATGTTTTGCCTATTTTTTCTAATGTAAGTAAGAACTCGGCTATTTTTCATTGTAGCTTTACCTATACATATACTGGAAAAACTTTTCAACATAAGTATAGTTAAAACTACAAATGAAAATATAACAGAGTTCCTACTCAACAGCAACAGATATTTAAAGAAGAATACAATAAAGGCAGCAAAAAGTTTAATAAAAATGAATGAAGAAGCAGCCTAAGATAATATTTCATCTTAAAGATAATATTTGTTTTCATTCGTTACAGATTTACAATCTTGTAAAAAGGAAACATGTATAAATAACTTTATTAACTTTCATCCACACGAGTCTAGTTTATCATAACTGTCCATTTACTCGACTCATTAGAAAAACTATAATACACGGTGGGGCAGAACTCCCTACCGTGTAACCCCCCCCCCTCCACTCCCCTCATCAGATCCCTATAAATTGCATATCGTTGTGTTCCTTGTAACTATTTATTGAAAAAAAGCCAATGTTCCCACAAGAGAAAATGAACGAACTGCCCCAAAATGGCGTCTAAACATGGCGTACTGACGACTTTGACTTTAGTTAGTTATTTGGTCACTAAGAATCAGAATTTCGCTTAATTTCGTCATAGCTGGATAGTCAAAGAATAATAAAACATGAAAAAATAATTACCTTAGGCAATGAAAAACACCAATAAAGTCAAATTTTTTAACACAAAAATTTTCAAGTTGAAAATCAAGTGTTGTTTGTAATTAAATGGCCAACAATAACGTAAAACGTGCTAAAATAAAACATCTGGAGAATATATTTCTCTTTCCAAAACACTGATTACTTTTTAAAATATTTGAAGCGACTCCGTAGAAAATGCACTTAAGCTGCAGAAAAGCAGTACTGGCGTAGGTGCCTACAGGCCTCTACCACACCATTGAGTACTCATAAATGGCTTAGTCATAGTGCTATAATAACGGTGTTGGTACATTATATTGATTATATTAACCAACAAATATTAATGCAATAATTTAATTGTAAAAAAATTAAACATTTTTTTTTAAATTTAATTTTCTATATTCTATACAGATGTTGTTTAAGAAGACCTCTATAGTAAAAATCATATAATTATAATCATAAAATTTAATTCATGGGGGATCCCTCTTAGGAGGAGTGGTCTGAATATACAGAATAAAGACCCGTGGACCAACAGGTACCCAGTACTGGGGGGTATGGCCGGCCACCCTTTCACCTGAGGTTGAGCTTGTGGAAGAGATGAAGACACACAAGGTGGACATACTTGGGATCAGCGAGGTAAAGAAGAAAGGAGTCGGTGAAATAAAACTGGAAGTGATTACACCCTTATATATGCTGGAGTTCCTCAAGGAAACTTCACGAAGGAAGGAGTAGGTATAATGATGACTCCAACAATGTATAAACAAATGGAAGACTGGGAGCCTATTTCACCAAGAATAATTGCTGCAAATTTTATGTTGGCCATTGGGAAAGTTACTTTAGTGTAGGTATACGCACCGACGAAGGATGTGGGAATCATGGATAAGGAAGCACTCTACTCTGACTTGCAAGGATTGCTCAACAAAATAAAGTTGAAAGGACGATTCGCAATACTGAGTGGAGATTTCAATGCCAGAACAGGTTGTGATCCTTCTCTCATTTATGGTGCCCTCAGACTCCATGGAGGGGAAACTGCAAGAAATGGAAATGGACAACGCCTTATTGACTTCTGCATAGACAATGATTTACTGGTGAGAAATTCCTTCTTTCCCCACAAAATAATACACAAAACAACTTTCTCGACCCTGGAAAGAAACAGTATTATAGACTATTTCGTATATGACCATGCCATAAGAAACTATTTTTCTGATATAAAAGTCATAAGAGGAGCTGAAATTGGCAGCGATCATCTGCTGCTAATAGCCAATACCAAAATTCCACATAAACAGCCAATTAAACAAAAGAACTACCAGGCAGTCAACATAAGAGCTCTAGACGATCCAGAAAAGAGAACCTCCTATACCGAAAAACTGGAAGGAAACACTTAACACTTTGTTTTGTATATTTACTGATTCTTAGAGGTAATTTAAATTGTATATACTTCTCCAGAAATGAGTCATAGTAATCCAAAATGCTGCGCGTACATAAGCAACAAATGTATTAGAAAATGATATGAAAGGACTATAGTTTTGTCCCTTTACAACAAAGGAGATACTAGGAAATGTAATACCAATCGAGATTCATTCCTGTTTACTGTACCAAAGAAACTCTACTCAAGAATTGTAGAAGCTAGAATAAAAAATATTGTCAATTGGATATGGATTGAGAAACTCGAGTTGAACATTGGAACAGAAGTTGCAAATTGGGACTGTCTTCACTTTAAGGCAGGTTATACAGAAGTCCATCAAGAATGAAAAATAGTAGCTCCCTATCTGCTTAGTGTCTCACACTTTGGATTGTGCTAATATCTACTAGTCTTTCAGAAAAGCTAGTTTTCCTTTCAGATTCCTTAAAAAATCTTTTACAAAAGCAATAAACAGAAGGAGAGCTATTTCCCTTTCTTGATAGACCTCTCTATAACCTGCTTCAAAGTGAAAATAGTCCCAATGTGCAACTTCAGTAGCAATAGGAAATAGAGTTGTTTTCCCCATAATAAACCTTGTTTACTTCGTCCAGACCAGCTGAATTGCCAATTGCTTTGAACAAATCTTTCTGGCTGATAAAATGTTCTTCACCATTATAAACCTGAATCGTCCCCTTAATATCATCCAAACTGCACTGTATATCATATTACATTATATATGGTTTTTACTATTAAAGTAGTTAATTAGGTATCATATTTATGTATATTCTTATAAATGTATGTGTATAAAACTCAACTCGATTTGTATGGGTTCGCCCGAAAACAAATAAAAAAAATGTATTTATTTTTTTATTAAAGCTGGATAGTTAGACAATAAGAAAACATTAAAAAATATCGAAAAATAATTGGCTTAGGCAATAAAAAACACCAGTAAAGTCAACTTTTTTAACAAAAAAATTTACAAGTTGAAAATCAAGCATCGTTTGAATCAAAAATAAAAAAATTAATTTTTATTTCCTTTATTTTGATCGGAAGTTGGACCATATCATAAAACAATAGGAAATTTTAATATTGAATGCATTAATCTCTCTGCACAAAGAAAGATGTAAAGAGCGAAGCTATAAGTTCTTCTAGGTGACCGGAACTGATTGTTAGTATTTGGTCTCAAAAAGGGGGATAACGAGAGATTGAATCCACAAATTGGAAAAATATATTAATCTGATAAAATGGTCTTCACCATAATAAAACTGCATCAACCCTTAATATCATCAAAACTGCTCAAGCATTTGACTCCCTTTTAGTACTTTGATTTATTATTATTATTTTTACAGGGTACACATTGTGAATAATATTTTTGAATCAAGCGATTTGTTGCATTTAAGATAATGTTTATTTTATGAAAAGAATCATTTCATATTCCAGTGTTTATATGGGATTAGATCATACTCTCCCCTACATGAAATAAATAAAAGAAATACTTACAAAATTAATGCCATGGCTATGACCATAATGAATCTTTCAGGAGAGGAGTAAAAATAAACTACAGTAAAAAGTATGAAGAGTCTACTTAGAATGTAAAACCATTCTAACCAATCTCTGTTAGCACGAAGTTCTTCTCTGCCATCTTCACCTTCATCTTCTGCTACAAAAGCAATTATTAATGATTAATATAGTCACTATAAGTAATAATGTTAACAAAACATATTCTTAGTAAAATTGAAATCAACCTCTTTCATTAGCTTGAGGTTCCCGGTTATTTCGAAAAGTTGAACTTTCATTAACTGAAGTGGTTGGATTGTTTCGATTATCTATTGTGCCCATCCTATTAGCCATACTAAAATTCATAATACACATTTAAATAATTAATAAACTTTAATACTGTCAACAATATACCTTTAATAAATCACATATTATTAGTGTAAAATAAATATACAGGGTGTTTTAGTTGTTAATGGCCAAACTCTGGGGGGTGATTTTAGACAAACTTTCTAACAAAAAAGTTAATTTGATGCCTGGGCCGATTCCGAATGGAAAAGCAGATAGGATCAATCTTGTGTTTTGTTTAAGGTAGTCACGTTTTTTATAGAATTTTTTATTTAAAGAAGGAACTACTTCACGATGACTACCTTAAGAAAAACATAAAATTAGTCTCAACTCCATTTCTGTTAGGAATCGGCCCATGCATCAAATGAACTTTTTTGTTGGAAATGCTGTATAAAATCATCCCCCAGAGTTTGGCCAGTAAGAGCTGAGACACCCTGTTTAATAATTTATTAAATATAAAACAAGTGAAAAATGCATAACCAACTGACAATCAAATTAATAAATTTTAAAATATAACAGAAGAAACGTTTGACTCATACCAGTCTTGGTCACAAATACTTAGCACTTTTTACTGGCTAGCTAATAGGTTACAAAAAATACCTTTATCCCTCAACAAAATTAACAAAGAAAAGGCAACCATTTTTCAAATTACAACAAATAATGGGTACCTTACAGAAATTATTGAAAAAATATTTAGAAAAATATTTGAAAATGCAACTTATAACAGTCTACAATATTACACAGTAGGCCAGAGCCCCCTATCGTGCACTCTCCCCCTCCACATCCCTATAAATTGCATATCGTTGTGTTCCTTGTAACTATTTATTAAAAAAAAGCCAATGTTCCCACAAAAAAAAGTGAACTAACTGCCCCAAAATGGCGTCCAAATATGGCGGACGCACGACTTTGACTTTAGTTAGATTTTTGGTCACTGAGAATCGGCATTTGGCTTAATTTTGTCATAGATGGTCATTTATTAAAACGAGTTGAGTTTGGACTGTGGATGGAACAGGTCACGCTTTAATTTTGCTCCGTGTTTGGTGATGTTTGTGATTATTTAAAGTTATTTTTTCAATTTTATTTTATATTGACAGTTAGATCTTTTGATAACGGGTACCACTGTTATAGAATTATTTCAATTTAACTTTTTGTAAAGAAGTAATTAATACATTTCATTATGAGTGACACAGAAGAGCAAGGTAGTGGGGGTATTGAAATGGTAAACAAAGGATTGGGCAGAAGCGATGCTGAAGGTAATCCTTTCAACTTACTGTTTAATAAGCTTGAATCCCTAACAAATGAAATACTATTGTTGCGTAAGGAGTTAACTTCTATGGATAAAAGAATTACTGATAATTTTAATAAATACAATTCAGAGGTTTTAAATATATACAAAAAAAGAAAATTTGAAATTAAAAAAAGAAGTTCATCTTTAAGACAAAGTTTTGCTGCAACTGATCAATACCACCAAAATAACAGAATAAAATTAATTAATATTCCTCGAATGGAAGGGGAAGACATTTTGTCCATAATCAAAAATATAAGTAATACTATTGGCTTCCAGTTGGAAAAAAATTAATTAACTCTGTTTACAGAATAAAAACTAACTCAGGTAAAGGGACAATTGTGGTTAAATTTCTAAGAAATATTGATAAAACTGAATTGCTTAAGTTAAATAGATTGAAGAAGAACTTGATTAACACAGAATTGTTTAATATAGTCCCAGCATTACCGGTGTTTGTGTCAGAACTGTTATCTCTCGACAGTGCTTGGCTTTTTAAACAGATCAAGTCTAATGAAGAGAAATATAATCTAAAATATGTATGGACGAGAAATAATCGGCTTCTAGCCAGACAAGATGATAGAACTCCTACAATTGTTATTCGTACAGAGGAAGATATCCTAAAAATAGCTGCTAAATTTGGCGACCTTACTTCGGAGAAAGATTATTCTGGCGAGGAAAAGGAACAGATACAAGCGAGGCGAGTAGAAAACATGGCAGTTAACGGAAGAAGAGGACGGTTCGAACGGCGGCCAAAGATGTTTCTTCACAGAAGTCATTTAAATTATTTAAAAGTATAATTTGTTTAGCATTGTTTATCTTAATATTGAAGGTTATAATAAGTTATTTAATGTAGACTCTGAGGTTATCAATTTTTTACTTAGTAATCCTGTTATTTGTCTTTCCGAAACTTTCATTACTAATTCAACATTTAATCAACCAACATGGTTAAAAGATTAAACCGAATTTGTTTAGGTAACTTCACGAAAGTTCTAAAAAGGTCGCCCCAGAGGTGGTCTCATAACTTTGGTAAACATTTTTGTGAGGAAGTGATATTTGATTTTTCTGATACATGTTTGTTTATCAAAGTTAAGGTAAATTATTTTTCTTTTTTCATTGGAAATGTTTATTGGAGCCCTTTGGTTAATATAAATGATTGCATTCTGGATTTGGAAGAACTATTTAATAGAATTAAATCAAAACATGAAATTAATCAGTATAATATAGTACTGGGTGGAGATTAGAATGCAAGATTAGGTTCATGGGATCTAATTGATGATTTACTTGTGGAAGGTTCTTATCTGTCCAGTCACAGAACTAGTTTAGATAGTGTTCATAATGCTAGAGGTAAAAAATTAATTATTTTGAAGAATATGGTTTAATATTATTAAATGGTAGGACTCCTAGCGATATACCTGGTCAGCTTACGGATATTACAGCTAGAGGGTGTAGTGTTGTAGATACTGTTTGGATATTCCCCACTATGATCGATTTCATTCAAGATTTAAAAGTTTGGGAAGTTTCAGAGCTAAGTTGTCATTTGCCCGTGATTGTTTATTTAAATAAGTTAAATAAAGAAACAGCGAAAATTGAGGTGAAGAAAATAGAAAAGTATTTATATTTAGATGAAAAAAATATAAATTCCTTCTAGTTATTGGTTTCAAACGCAAATGACATTTACTTTAATTATAGTTCAGTGAATGCTTTGTATAAAAATATGATTAAATATTTTTTGAACTGTGCACTCGAATCTGGACTTCTCAAGTGAAAATGTTTTGTTACTTCCCGTAAAACCTTTATTGATAAAATCTGGTTTGGTGAGGAGGGCAGGAAAGCAAAAAATCTTCTTAGAAAATGTTTTAAAACATTAAAGCGTGAAGGTTATTCGCAGGAAAATGTAATTGTTTTTATCGATAGTAAAAAACAATACAAACAAAATATAATTGCAGCAAAAAAAAAAAATATTTTGATTGCCATTTAGACTCATTATCAGATGTCAAAGAAGTTAAACTGTTTTGGCAAACTGTTAAACATTTTAATAGGCCGAATACGGTTTCTACTGAACAATTTATCTCATTTTATAAAGAATTTTATGCTGGAAAGGACTCTATCTCTGACTTTATATCCACCAACTCTGTTTTATAATTAGATAATCCTATAAATTTGGACGAACTTCAGAAAGCAATTAGAAAAACCAAATTGAAAAAAGCATCTGGCACCGATCAGTTGCCATATGAAGTTTATAAACTTATGCCTCCGAATTGGGACCACTACCTCCTTAACCTTTTTTACAACGTTTTCAAAATACGATTGTTCCGGAAAAATGGGGTGAATTCTCCTACTCCATTTATATAAAAAAAGCGATGCTAAAGACCTCAGCTAATTACAGAGGAATAGCACTAATAAACTGTGTTGTTAAACTGTTTACAACTATTCTAGCTGATAGAATTATTCAATGGGCAGAAAATCATAACTTGATTCCAGAAGCGGTCCAAGGTGTTGTGATGTACAATATACGGTACTTATAAGATACCACATAGCCTCTCCGCCACGACTCCTCTCTCACCTGTGCGCGGTGGACCCTACCCTACCAAGCCGAACAAACCCAGCCTGAGGTGGCGGTAACCAATCCCTATGGGTGGCTGGGTCGGTGAACAAACAGAAATCACTGGGTGTTGTTTCAAACTTACAGAACCTCTTTTCCTGGACTAATCACCTGTAAAAGTAACTTACCTGATTCAAAGCTCAAACAATGGCCTCGGATTCAATCGGTCTAAACGGTTACGACATGGCGCTCATAAGGACTTACGAATTGCAACGTGGAATATAAGGACATTTACTGGCAAAGGAGTGGAAATAACTGATGAGATTAGGACATACCATGTGGATATACTGGGAATAAGTGAGGTAAAAAGGAAGGGATGCGGTGAGTTAAAGCTGCCAGGGAACTACACTCTAATGTACTCAGGAGTGCCAGTTGGAATCAGGGCTAAGGAGGGTGTAGGTGTGATAGTAAGGGACAGCCCTCTCTCGACAATAGTGGAATGGTATCTGGTATCCGCAAGAATTATCACCATAAACATGAAATTCGCCATTGGTCATAATACTGTTATACAAGTGTATGCCCCAACAGAAGACTCAGATATAAGGGAAAAGGAACAATTCTATACCGACCTTGCAACTGAGGTAATGAAAGCCCAAAATAATAAAAGACATGTTATACTTATGGGTGACTTAAATGCTAGAACAGGGTGTGATTACAACAGAGCTCATGGAGTGATAGGTAGACATGGAGGAGAAACAATTAAAAATACCAATGGTCAACGTCTTATTAACTTCTGTATTGATCATGATCTACTATCAGGAAATTCATTCTTCACTCATAAAAAAGTTCACAAAATTACATTTACCACCCATGGAAGAAATGCAAATAGCATCATAGACTATTTTGTCTATAATAGACAAACAAGAAGATTTTTTACCGGTGTAAAGGTAATAAGAGGAGCTAAAATAGGATCTGAACTTCTGGGGATTTCCCCATTCTATTAGTTGCTGAAACCCAAATTATTCAGTCCAGGAAAAACCCCCGTAAGAAATATAAGAACATAAAAGAAACTCGACTTCTCATGATTGAAACTCAATGCAAATACGGCCAAGAGTTGGAACAAAAATTATTAAAGTATTGACATGGAAGGGAAGGTGGATAGCATATGGGCAGAAATAAAAAG